CACTTTTGTGTCTCTTCTTCCCCAGGCCTCCCCTCAACTATAAGTGCCCTCTCCTCAAGCCACTCTGGCTGGTAACCACACTGATCCCAATGAGGGAGGCCTTTCGTTTTATTCTTGAGTCTTAACAACTTCAGCTACCTTTAGAGGGTTGTGCTTGCTGCCGATGGGAGGAAATTGAGGGCTCCAGATCTCTTGAAGGAGGGCGATAGGATTTCCCCATTCCAGATAAGCTTTCCCAAGTGGCAGCTGTGACTCCTCATGTTCAATATTCTTTTTTTTTTTTCTTCATGTTTATTTGAGAGAGTGAGAGAGAGAGGCCGAGAGAGGGGGAGACAGAATCCGAAGCCGGCTCCAGGCTCTGAGCTGTCAGCACAGAGCCCGATGCGGGGCTCAAAGTCCCAAACCACAAGATCATGACCTGAGCCAACGTTGGACGCTTAGCCAATTGAGCCACCCAGGTGCCCCATCACTCTCAATATTCTTGGTCACCTTTAAAGAAAGCACGCTTTGATGAGGTTTGGGAGTGATGGTGGCATCTAAAAAAGAATTCTTGACTCGTCTTTGGTGCAAAGAGGTGATTTTATGAAATCACAGGGACAGGACCTGTGGACAGAAAGAGCTGCACTGGGGTTGTGAAAAGTGACTGATTATACACAAGGGAATTGAAGAGGGGGGAGGGTAAGGAAAAAAGGCCTCCAAAAGGACTTTGACATGTGAAAGAGGACTCTTAAGATATTGGAGTCCTAGCTATTGTTAAGTTATGGTTGTTTTTCCCTTTAGCAAAGCATTAACATTAAGACCGTAGGGGGTTCCTGGAAAAACTTTTTACTCTGCCTGCCTCAAGTATTTGCCAAGGGGCTGCAGGTTATAAAGGAATTTAATTTTATCTGCCATTTCCTTCTGCCCTATTCCCCACATCACTAGGGAGGGGAGGGTGATGTTAGCGGTCCTGGAAACTCGAGTGTATACATTTCTGGAGGCTAGGCTATTAATTAGATTGCTTTATCTTGTCATTTACTAACACGTTGGTAAACTGATGGACACACATGTCCTGCAGGACTGTGATCTCATCAGTTAACCATTTGTTTTCTTTCCTTTGTTCTTAGGCAGCCAGGAGTGCCTGAGGAATGTCACACACATCCCATCTGGTGGGGGGGGGGGGGGGGAGCGGGGTTTAGCTTGTGCTTATGGCCCCTCAACTTCACAAACACAAGCGTGAACTTTCCGCTGGAGACAGCAGGTTAATTTGCTTTGAGTAAAGGCTAATTCTTCTCTCACCAAGGTTTTTCTCCCTATGGAAACAAAGGAATCCTTTCTCATTATTACCCTAAGACCTAAGCTTGTCTTGTCTGCCTCCCTGGGTGACAGATGGCTGGTTGCATTGCACTCGCTGGATTCAAGTCCCCTTTGATAAGTGTCTGAGGAGACCTGTTTCTGCCCATTTATCCGGCCACCTGAATGAATGTCCAGTTAGTCCAGGTGGGGTCGGAGGTGTGGGCAGGTTCACCTTCCAAGGGGTGCTGGACAGGGCAAGGCAGGGAGTCATGATCAATAGCGGAAGAAGGGGGCCAACGACTGACTACACCTGCTCCACAATCATGCCCTACTTCGGGGGAAGTCTTTGCACCGCAAGCCATAAACATTCGCGTAAAATGAAGCTTGCATTCCTGATCTGCATATAGCTCTGGTACAGGTGCCCTCATGGCCCCAAAGCGTGCCCTCGGCCGCCTGCAGGATGAGCAAGGAACGGTGGAGACCATGGGTGGCCACGCCCATCGGAGGATGGGGTGCGACCCGACGTCACAAGGTGGGCACGCTGAGGCCGCGGACCTCACGTGCCGAAGGGCTTCCAGTCCATCAAACACAGACGACTCTGGGTCAGGGCCAGGGACGTCCAGGGTACGATCTGAGGCCGGTGCACCTGGGAAAGAGACGCGAGCAGAAGCCGCGCCCGCCCTCCGCAGACAAGGACACGGCAACACCCTCTTCGGCGGCCACGCGCGCGTCCAGCCCCTGGCGGCACCGGCGCGAACAGCTCCGCCTGTGATTGGCAGCTCCGCGGGGGCGTGGCCTCGGCGCGCGCAGCCCGGCGGCCTCTGACCCGCTCCGCCCACTCCCGTCCCTGCCTGTGATTGGTGCCTTCGGCCCAGGGGGCGGGCCGTCAGCCGGTGGTGCGCGCGCAGCTGTCGAGTCAGTCCTGGAGCGACCTCTGCCTGGCCAGGCCCGCCCCCGCGTGTCACAGTCATGGCGGCCTCTCTTCTGCTGCGGCAAGGACGGTCGGGGGCAATGAAGGTAAAGGGAGCCGGGCCGGCGGCCGGGAGCCCGCGTAGGGCCGGGGCGAGGGGCACCTCCAGCCGTACGGGTGGGCCCATGACGCGGTTCCAGGGTGGAAGAGAGGGCGCTGGGCCGGAGCAGGTGGCCGCGGGCCGTGGGGCGGGGCGCGGCGAACGGACACTGACCCCGATCTCCTGGGGAGCCCCCGGCGTGCGGTGCCAAGGTCGCGGGCAGGTGCGAGGGCTCCCAGGTGTCCTGCGCCGCCGCGCTCGCTCCGAGACGTTGAGGACCGCGTCTTGACCTCTTACGTAGCCGGGAGGGGAGAGGAGGGGACTCTAAGGTACCTGGGTGACCCGGTAACTTACTTGGCAGCCACTAAGATGCCCGCTTACATGATCCTGTCTGGGAAAAGAGAGGAAGACAGAGGGCTTTCTTTTTACGTGTAGAAAAAATGTGAGATAATTGCCCTGCGTTTAAATTTGCAAAAGTCTCTTACAAAAGCACTTCCTATTCATTGCGAGATAGAGCGTACAGATGGGGGGAGATCTGTTTCCGAGAGTCCACCGTTTCGTCCTTGAAACACCTGGTTCCAAATAATTTTTTCAGCTTTCACACGTACTTATAGTCATAAACATAAAAAGATATATTTTACCTTCGTGTATGTAGGAGAGGCACCTTTGTTCTGTATGCAGCTTCTAGAAAAGCGCCTAGCACATAGCAGCTGTTAGTAAATACATGTTGAGTGAATTATCAGTTTAGGTTTGCCATTTATGATACATTGTATGTGGTTTTGAAGCAGTTATCCACCTGCATCATTACTAACAGCCAGATAGTATTTATTCTTTTTATTTTTTAATTTTTTTTTTAATGCTTGTGTATTTCTGAGAGAGAGAGAGAGAGAGAGAGAGCAAGCAGGGGAGCGGCAGATAGAGAGGGAGACACAGAATCCGAAGCAGGCTCCAGGCTCTGAGCCGTCAGCACAGAGCCCGACAGGGCTTGAACTCACAAACCGTGAGATCATGACCTGAGCCCAAGTCAGATGCTTAACTGACTGAGCCACCCAGGCTCCCAGGTAGTATTTCTTCTAGTTGGCGTTCTAAGTATAGGAAAACACTTTATTAACAAAAAGAACCAGAGTATTTGGTAGGTTAAATAGTAGGTGGGGGCTACAAAAAGTATGCACAGGAGAAACTGTTTTTGACTTTTCTTGGAGTTACATAGTTCATAGTGACTGTCATGTGTTTTCTTTCTTGCAACTTTTTTTGTATTTTCCAAAATTTCCGTATGTTATGAAAATTGTAATAAGCGTTAGAAATATGACATGAATGCTATGTTATAACACGTTATATAGTACATGTAATGCATGTAATGATATATAACGTCTATAGGTCGTAATAGCTTCCAAATGGCATGACTCTAAAATGTCCATATTTGTTCATCCTTCTGTCAGACTATGCTCCTAGACGCACGAGTGTTTCGAGGACTTGCTCCCTCAGTGTCTCTCTCTGCGGAATCAGGGAAGAGCGAAAAGGGACTGCCACCAAATCCCAAGAAGCAAAGTCCACCAAAAAGTAAGATTTTAATGATAGTCCCAAGGGGAGAATAATGCAAAGTAAACAAATCAGTCCGCTTTCCAGGCGTGAAGAGTTTTACTAACCACATAATTCGATTCTTCATCTCCAGCCGTGTCCAGATTGTAATCCGACATCGGATCTGTGGCAGATTTTAGACCAAACACATCACTAATGCAACAGCCCTTGACTCAGCATTTAGCCCTGAACCAGTTCTGTCTGTGTTTTCTAAGTGCTGTGCTCTGATGTGTGGCAAGGGGACGTTTGGATGGCCCTGATACAGATGCTGTGCTCCTGTGGCAGCCCTGAGCCCCACCTTGCTTTTCTCTCCCCCAGTTGTGACGCTTCTCAGTGTCTCAGAGACACAGATCGGCTTCCCAGGCTTCGTGGGCCACCGTCCAGACTGCGGGCCTCCTTTCATGACCGTGGGGAGGGAGTTAAGAGCAGGAACCGTTTTCCATTACCACTCACTTTGATGAAGCACGATGTGTGATCTCTGTCCGGCTTTGTCCAGAGTCATTTTGACTTTTATTGCTGGATTTTACTTTTTTTTTCCTCCTTCCTGAATACCAACGAAGCATATCCTCATGGAAGGGAAATACAATGTGTGACACTATTTTAAATACTTGTGGGAATTTTACTTTCTACTCCCTGCTCGTTATTAACGACTGACCATAGGGGGCGCCTGGCTGGCTCAGTCAGCGGAACCTGGGACTCTGTCTCAAGATTGTGAGTTCAAGTCCCGCGTTGAGTGTAGAGTTGATTTAAAAATAAAATCTTAGGGCGCCTGGGTGGCTCAGTTGCTTAAGCGTCTGACTTTGGCTCAGGTCGTGATCTCACGGTTCGTGGGTTCGAGCCCCACGTCGGGGTCTGTGCTGACAGCTCGGAGCCTGGAGCCCGCTTCAGATTCTGTGTCTTCCTCTCTCTCTCTCTCTCTCTCTCTCTCTCTCTCTCTCACTCACTCTCTCTCTCACTTTCTCAAAAATAAACACGAAAAAAAATTTTTTTTTCTGGGGCAGCTGGGGGGCTTAGTTGGTCAAGTATCTCACTCTTGGTTTCAGCTCAGGTCGTGATCTCGCAATTCATGAGTTTGAGCCCCACGTTGGGCTCTGCGCTGGTGAAATGGAGCCCGCTTGGGATTCCTCTCTCCTGGGGTTCCTCTCTCCTGGGGTTCCTCTCTCCTGGGATTCCTCTCTCCCTTTCTCTTTACCCTCCCCAGCGCGCACTCTCTCTCTCTCTCTCTCTCTCACACATGCTTTCTCAAAAAATAAATATAATTTAAAAAACTAATGCGAACAGCCAGAATGTCAGTTAAATTCTGCATTACACATAGCACATTTTTGACATTCTTTCAATGTTTACTGATGATTAGTGAACCTCTTGCTAATGTTATTGATGCCTTTGGTGATTCTTAGTCTTGTTTCTGCAATCCTACATCATAGGTTTTTGAAGCTGACTTAATGGATTTTAAAATATTGTGGCAGAGTCAAAGATTCCCCTCCTTTTTTTAATGTTTATATATATATTTTTTTAATTTTTTTAATCTTTATTTTTGAGAGAGAGAGAGAGAGAGAGAGACAGTGTGAGTGGGGGAGGAACAGAGAGAGGGAGACACAGAATCCGAAGCAGGCTGCAGGCTCCGAGCTGTCAGCACAGAGCCTGATGTGGGGCTTGAACCCATGAACTGTGAGATCATGACCTGAGCTGAAGTCGGACGCTTAACTGACTGAGCCACCCAGGCACCCCAGTGTTTATATATTTTTGAGAGAGACAGCTCGAGCGGGCGAGAGGGGGGCACAGAGAGAGGGAGACACAGAATCCGAAGCAGCCTCCAGGCTCTGAGCTGTCAGCACAGAGCCCGATGTAGGGCTTGAACCCACGGACCGTGAGATCATGACCTGAGCTGAAGTCGGACGCTTTACCAACTGAGCCATCCAGGCGTCCCCAAAGATCCTTTTTTAAACAAGCTTCTATGTGTGAGTAGAATAGGGTGCTTGTTTATGTAACAGTTTTAGGCGCAGTTATGAGCAGGGAACATTGACCTAGGAGTTGGCCCTGGGCCTGTGTAGTTTGGTCATCAGTCTGGATGAGGTTTTTCCCGCCTGAGTGGGGTCAGCGCGCAGGCCGTGCTAGGCCCCCGTGAGGGGGATATATGTGTGCGGTGTCGACTGAGTGTAGAGTGCTTTTAGGTGGGAAGACAGTATTGCGAACTACGCTGTCTTTAATTCGTGTGAGATCTGTGTATAATCTAAAAGTACTTATAATCCCTGTATGAAGAAAAGGAATTTCTAAACCGACATGTACAGGCCTCAGTGTTTGCCCGAGATGTCAGTGCTCATGAGACTGGTCAAGCGAAAAATGCGGAAATGCTTTCTGCCTGCTGGTGGCCCGTTAATGCCCCAGGTTAAAGCCCTGTCTGCCCTCACTGGCTTTGGGAGCTTTAACGGCAGTTTCCCGCATGCAGATCTGGCCCTGTGCGCTCACCCTTGGGGTCCCATCTCTAGGCAAGGTGCCTGCCTCAGAGGCAGGACCCCGGGGTTCCAGACGACGTTCTGCCCTATTCCTTCTGGGACTCCAGCTTCTGGTAGTGCTTGCCTCCTTCCCAAGGAGAGCCACCAACGCAGATGTCAGGGCCCAGGGTCTCCTCACAGGTGCCCCTCCAGGCGGTCCGCTCAGTCCAGCCACTATGGCAACAATCGGTACTAAGTCATCGACTCCCGTGCCGCCTTTTCAAGGGTCTGTCCAGAGGCCACAGTTAATGATTCCTTTCAAGTCCTCATTTCAGTCTGAAGGGTGAGGAATCTCTGGAAATAGGGATTTGTTGTGTTTACTTCTAACCAGCAGAGCCCGGCATACATTGTCCCGTCTGGTCCGCACAACCCGTGAGCAGGCGGTACTCGTCTCCCTGCCTTAGATGAGAGGGCGGAGGAGGGAAGAGGCCTGTGAGCTGCCCAAGGCCACACGTGTGTTAGGAGTGGAGCCGGATGTAAACCCGGGCAGGAAGGCCCCACCATCTGTAGTTTTCTTCTCCGTGCTGTCTTGCCTCTGAGAAAATCTCAGTCCTCGGACAAGCAAGCAGACAAGCAACTCTATAGTCCTATACATGGAAAAGAGTTTTAGTTCACATAAAATTTGAGTAACCGTGCTCCTTCGTGTTGTGTCGAAATGTGCTTTGTTTCCGAGATTGGTTTTGTGACGCAGTGACGAGATCTGGAAGAATTTTTTTTTAACATTTTTTTTTTTTTTAACGTTTATTTATTATTGAGAGACAGAGCGTGAACAGAGAAGGGGCAGAGAGAGAGGGAGACACAGAATTGGAAGCAGGCTCTGAGCTGTCAGCACAGAGCCCGACGCGGGGCTCGAACTCACAAACTGCAAGATCGTGACCTGAGCCAAAGTCG